TGGTCATTCATTCAGAATTAGAAACGGAGAATGGGAGCCTTATAGCTGCAGGACCTTAGAACCCAGTCAGAGCGTGTAGCCATCTGGGCCAGGGTGCCGGGGATGTAAATGACCTGAGGAGTTTGCAGCAACCGAAGCTCAAAGTGGATTGGTTTGTTTTTTAATCTGAAGCCGACTGCCGAGACGCCACCCTAGATGTGCAAGAGCAGCCTCCCTTAGAAGAGAGAGGGAAGCGTCTCGCAATCACAAGGACCCAGAGAGGGGTGTGGGGCTCTGTGGGCCTGGAGCTCAGTTTCCCTTGGAAAGGAATCAGGTCTTTTGTTCCAGGTAGCCCTCCCAGCCTCCCTCAGATGGGTTAGCTCCTGCTCTGGGTTCTCCCCCCCGCCACCCCCTTCAGTCTTAACCACATCCTTGGTGATGACTGTGTGCAATATTTGTCTTCCCCACTGGAATGTCAACTCCTGGAGGACAAGCGCCTGATTTGGCCTGGCACTTCTGTGGCACCGGCTCCGAGCACAGTCGACAGTATTTATTGAGCACCTGCTACTTGGGGGCCCCTGGTGTAGGCTGTGGGGATACAGGAGGGAACCAGACAGACACGTACCTGTCCTCAGGGGCTGACTCTAACACCCAGGGCCTGTTTGTTGAGCTGCCATTGGGGTTTGCATAGAAGGGGCAAGAATGGCCTGAGAGAAGATTCTCCCCGGTCGGGTCCTCTCCCCTTCACTCAATCCCTCAAGTTCTGCACCCAGTCTCAGGCTTAACTTCTGGGTCTTTTCATCCAGCCCTTTTCGAGGACCTTTTGCTATCTGATGATCCATTTCCGTCCAGCTCCCCCCTAAGCCAAGCCATTCTCCAATAGAGGGACCCTCAGCGCCTCCCACTTGCCTCGAGGAGAAAGCCCACCTCTTGGTCCCACCTACTTTGCTCTCTGTAGCTCACTGGCCTGGGTGTTTTTTCCTGACCCAGCTAGAAAGGGGCGGAGCCTTTGGGGCCCCTTGTCCCATATCCTGCCTTTGGGGGCCAGGTGGGTGAAGGGTCCTGGCACCTGAGGGAATGTCCTGAGGGAAGGGGCGGTCCCACCTTAGCGCCACCCAGCTGTCCTCCCACCACGTCCGTCCGTTTTAGTCCGGATTTTGTCCGGATTTTGACGTTTCATCTCCTGACCCATTGTGCTGCTAGTGCAGTTGGAAACAGTGCTGTGAGGGCCGCGAGAGTGGCGGCTGACCGCCTGTGCTTGGCTCAGCCGCGCCCGCCCCTGCGAAGACTTTGGGGAGAAAATCATTTCGTGGAACGTCACAGGGGGCCCTGCAGGGCAGCTTACACACCCCCATTTTATAGATGGAGGAACTTAGGCTCAGGAACAAGGTCACCCTCCTGGAAGGAGCCAGAGGGAAGCCCCAGTGATCTGCTGGAGTCCCACGCGCCTGAGTCTATAGTGCTGCCCCTCGGATGGGAGCACCCCCCCCCCCAGGTGGCACCCTTGGGTGTGAGTTGTGGATGTGTGTGTCACACAGTGGCCTTCACCGATGGATGGCTTCTTTCCAAAAGTCCCTGGGACTGGCCCCACCCACAGGCTGCCTTTTGCTGGGCACCCTGTCATTAGGGTCACCTGTTCCTGTGCTTGGTGTGTTGAGGCCAAGGCTGGTCAGGGAGAGCTGGGCGGCAGTTGCCCCTTGAGAGCTGGGCGTGTGCCCTTGGCTGGCCTTGCCTGGAGGCTGAGTGTCAAGGGCCTCTTAAAACCATGCTGAGCTGGCTGCGTTTATTTAACAAGCAGTGGTCGTGTATTTCCTGTGGCCTCGCGCGAGTGCTCCACAAATATTCCTTAAAGTTTATAACAACCCTTAGGAAGTGGACGCGGTTATTATCCTTGTTTGACAGCTGAGGAGACTGAGGCACAGAGAGGTTCAATGACTTGCCCAAGGTCACACAGCCAGCAAGTAGGTAGTCTTTACCCTCAGTTGCCATAGAAACATTCAGTGTTTCTCTCCTTCTCCTTTTCTCTCTCTCTCAAATCAATTTAAAAAAAAAATTTTTTTTAAGTGAGAAAACTGCCTTGCCAGGGTGGCTCAGCGGTTGAGTGTCGACCCATGAACTAAGAGGTCACCAGTTAGATTCCCAGTCAGGGCACATGCCCGGGTTGCAGGCTCAATCCCCAGCAGGGGGCGTGCAGGAGGCAGCCGATCAATGTTTCTCTCTCTCATCGATGTTTCTATCTCCCCCTTCCCCCCTCTCTAAAATCAATAAAAATATTTTCTAAGTGAGAAAACAAAAGTAAGCTGAGAAATAAAAACATACATTCACACAAAAACTTGTACTCAAATGTTCAGAGCAGCTTGGTTCATAACTGCCCAAAAGTGGAAACAACACAGATGTCCATCAACTGAACAGATAAACAAAATGTAGTCTCTCCAGACCGTGGAATAGTATTTGGCCATGAAAAAGGAAGCAAGTACTGACCACCGGTACTACAGTGGATGAGCCTTGAAAACATTATTCTGGGTGAAATAAGCCAGTCACAGAAGGCTGTATATTCACATGAAATGTCCAGAATAGGGCAATCTATGGAGACAGAAAGTACATTAGTGATTGCTCGGGGCTGAGGGGAGGGCTGAAACAGGGAGTGACTGTTTAGCGGCTTCAGCAGTTTCTTTGGGGGATTATAAAAATGTCCTAGTCCTGGCTAGTGCACCAGTGGTTAGAGCAAAGGCCTGAAATCAATTCCCAGTCACAGGCACATGCCTGGGTTGCAGGTTCAGTCCCCAAGCCTGGCCGGGGTGCATGCGGGAGGCAACCAATCAGTGTCTCTCTCACATCAGTGTCCCTCTCCCTCCCTCCTTCCCCCTTCTCTTCCTACTCTCTCTAAAAATCAATGGGGAAAATGTTCTTGGGTGGGGAGTAACATCAACAACAAAAAGTCCTAAATTGATTATAGTGATGGATTCACAACTCTTGTGAAGACAGGAAACACCATTGAATTGTACACTTTTAACGGGTGGATAGGAATTACATCTCAATAAGCCTAGGTTAAAAAATAAGATAAGTTGCCTGGCTCAGTGGTGGAGTGTCCACCTATGAACCAGGAAGTCACGGTTCCATTCCCAGTCAGGGCACCTGCCCAGGTTTTGGGGTCAATCCCCAGGGGGTAGCGTGCAGGCGGCAGCCGATCAATGATTCTCTCTCATCATTGATGTTTCTATCTCTCTCTCCCTCTTCCTTCCTCTCTGAAATCAATAAACTCAATAAAAATATTTTTAAAAAATTATTTTGGAATAGGCTATTTTTTTAAAATGAGTTTTGTTTCAGGATTTTTTTTTTTCTTCCCACATTTGATACTGGAAAATTTCAAACATACATGTATGAGTTGGAAGAACAGCCCCTCCCACTACACCTGACAGTGTGTAACATTTCACCACATTGGTTTCACCACTTTTTCTAGACCTTTTTATGGTTTTTGCTGAAAAAGCATTTGAGAGTATGTTGCAGACATGACATTTAATCCTATATTTTCTAAGAAAAAGGAATACCATATAACCCTCATTTGTTCAAACCATCTAAGAATATTAACAGTAACTCCATAATAATATGTCATATAGTCCGGACTCAGATGTTCCTAGTTTTTCACAAAACGTCTTTTCGGGCTGGCCTTTTTAGAATCGTCACTTCCAGAAAGCTGAGCATGGTGTTTTCCCCCTCCGTGCTGGCCCCGCCCTGCCTGGAGGTCTGGGTGCTCCCCCCACCCACCGCTCTCTCTGCTCTCTCCCCAGGAGCCCAGAATGGGCGAGTTAGCATGCCGCCCGAGGTGCGGGGCCGCCTGGGGGACACAGTGGAGCTGCCGTGCCACCTGCTGTCGCCAGGGCCTAAAGGCAACGTCTCACAGGTGACGTGGCAACGCCTGGACCCATCCGGGAACCCTCAGAGTGTGGCCGCCTTCCACCCTTCCCATGGTCTCAGCTTCCCCAGCCCGAAGTTTGGCAAGGACCGGCTATCCTTCCGCACCATGGGGCAGAGCCCTGGTGCCCGGCAAGGCTCGGAGATGCGGGACGCCACGCTGGTCCTCCAGGGCCTGAGAGTGGAGGATGAGGGCAACTTCTCCTGCGAGTTTGCTACCTTCCCCCTGGGCACCAGTCGTGGAGTGACCTGGCTCAGAACCATAGGTGAGCAGGGGCGGGGGGCGGGGGGGGCAGGGAAGTGGGAGAGCCCCCTTGCTGATCTATTTCTGTCTGCTTTCTCCGTGGTCTTCAGTCAATTGGCAAGTATTAAGCAAGTACTGTTTGCCAGATGCTGTTCTGCAAGTTGGGAATATAGCAGCCAACAAGGCATTCAACAAACATATATTGAATACCTACTGTGTACCAGGCGCTATTCTAGGCTCTAGGGATAAAGTCCTCCTGGAGCTTATACTCCAGTAAAGGGACGCCAGAGAGTAAGTAAAAAGAAGAAGAAGAGTGAGTCAGGTGGCTGTAGGTGCTGTAGAAGTTGAAGGGGGAGCAGGTTACAAGTTTAGGGAGGTCTGGCAATATTTGAACAAAAACTGGAATGAGGTGACGGAGGTCTATGTAAGGGAAGAGAGTTCAGGCGGGGGGAGTAAGTGCAAAGGCCCTGAGGTAGGGTGCACCTGGAATATCTAAGGAAGAGCAAAGAAGTCTGTGTGGCTGGAGATGCATGAATGGGGGAAAGTAGGCAGGGACAAGGTCAAGGAGGTGAGGGTCATAGACGGCCTTGTAGACAACATGAAGACTCTGGCTTTTGATCTAGGAGAACAAGAGCTATGGAGAGTTCTGAGCAGGGAAAGGTGTGACCTGACTTGGGTTTTCACAGGCTCCTTCCCGCTGCATGTGGGAGGCGAAAGTGGAAGCTGGGAGACCTCAGAGGAGGTGACTGCATAAGTCTAGGTAGGAAGTGATGACAACTAAACCAAGGGAGAGGCAGTGGAGGGGGTGGGTAGTATTTTATTTATTTTTTTAAAATATCTTTTATTGAATTACAGAGAGGAAGGGAGAGGGATAGAGAGTTAGAAACATCAATGAGAGAGAAACATCGATCAGCTGCCTCCTGCACACCCCTACTGGGGATATGCCCACAAACAAGGTACATGCCCTTGACTGGGATCAAACCCGGGACCCTTCAGTCCGCAGGCTGACGCTCTATCCATTGAGCCAAACCAGTTAGGGCGGTGGGAAGTATTTTAGAGGTAAAGCCAGAGGATAATCAACTAGTGAACAAGAGAAACGCCAAAACGTTGTAATACTCACTCGGTGTAAGAGATCCAGTGGCCTTATTTAGAGAGGATGGTCAGGGAACGCTGAAGAAGAAGGCTGCCCATGGGTTGCAGCCGCAAGCAGAGGAACAGAGGCACAAGCAGAGGGAACAGCATATGCAAATCTGGGGCGTGAGAACGAGCTTCACATGTTCCAGGAACAGAAAGGATGCTGATGGCAAGGGCTTGAGTGACCCTCAAGGCAGGAAAACCAACAGGGCCAGACTGCTTGGGCCTCACAGGCCGCAGCGAGGAGGCTGGAGCCGTCGGCGGGGGTTAGACCACAAAAGCACCCTGATCAGATGGTTAATGTTATGAAAAGATAAAACGGGGGCAGGGGGCATTAACGGCGGAGACAAAGGTAGGTGGAAGCTGGGAGACCAGACGGGAGAAGCATTGGCTTCGAAGAGGAGGAAGCGGTGACGGGGGTGGAGAGAAGTGGGTGGAATGTAGGTACTTTTCGGAGGTAGGTGTTTGTCCCTGAATTGGAGGAGGAGGACCAGGAAGGACTCCCAGCCTCTGGCTCCAGCAGGAGGGCGACTGGCCCCGCCCCTCAGTGAGCGGAATGGGCAGAATCAGGGAGGGCATTTTTCCCCCCAAAGGATGCTATTTCTTGCTAAATCTTGGCATTCCCCTGGAATCTCACCTTCTCCCAGCAGCTTCCCAGAAGCCAGGTCACCCTGGCGGTTTATTTTCCCCTCTCAGCCCCACAGAGTTGCGGAGGACTCCGCTGTACAGTCCCAGAAGTGTCTACTTCTCTTTTTAAGGAGCTGACACCGGTCGTTTCACTCAACTCACAGCACAGCTCTCCTCTCCCCGCCCTGCCCAAAGGTCTCTCTTGTGCAATCATTTGTTCTGTTCAAGAGACACACTGAGGGCCCCTGGTGCGGGAGGAGCGCGGGCAGCCCCGCTCTGCTTCCTTGGAGGGAGCAGGTGGCGCTAGCGAGCGTGAGAGAGTCAGATGTCAGGAAAGCTCCTTGAGGAAGTGAGGCTGGGAGCCGGAGGAGGAGGAAGAGCAAGCCAAGGAGAAGGGAGGCCAGACCCCCACGGTGGGTAGGAGCAGGGGCGGGCGTTCCTGGAGCGGTCAGAGGACAGATGTGGGGGTGACCAGGGCAGATGTGGGGAGGCCCATCGGAGGCTGTGCTGGTCAGGGAGAAGGGGAAGAGGAGGAACGGAGAGGAGGACTGTCCCGCATTCAGAAGCTCAGGAGACACCCCGATGAGGTCCCGAAGGCAGTGAGCGACGTGAGTCAGAACTCAGGGGCCAGTTCTGATTATGGACACGCATCCAGACCTACGGGTTGGCATTGTTCCTCCTGGAGGTTTTTATTCCTCCTAATGTTTTCCAAGAGGATGGGTGAAAAGGGCAAAAAAGATTATGAGCTTTGGGTTTCTTCACTGCCTTGATCCCACTTCTGCCACCACAATTAGTGGTGATTATCGGAGAAGAAGTCGGCCTTCAGCTGAACCTCTGGACCACGTTGTTCTGCGCTGGCTTTTCTTTTTAAATCCCAGGCTCTTGGACACTCCGCTTATCTAGCAGAGCAGGGAGCAGACACTGGCTGCAGGACATAACGGCTAGCGCTTAGGTTGAGCCGTGCGTGCCAGGCACCGGTCAGTGTGTTTGGATATCCATGTATTTAGTCCACACAACCATTCTATGGAGCGGGTACTTTTATTATCCCCACTTTACAAAAGAGGGAACCGAGGTACCGAGTGGGGACATCACTTGTGTCCAAAGCCGCGCAGCTGCTAAGCAGCAGGGCCGGGGTTTGAACACAGGCGTTGGGGCTGCCCTGCTCGGCTCCATTGTGACCACCCCCTTCGTTCTTCTCCCAGCCCAGCCCCAGAACCGCGCTGAGGCCCAGGAGGTCACACTCCGCTCGGAGCCGGTGCCCGTGGCCCTCTGTGTCTCCTCGGGGGGCCGCCCACCCGCCAAAATCTCCTGGCTCTCGACCCTGCGTGGGGAGCCCAAGGAGAGCGAGACGGCGGGGCCCCTGGCCGGCACAGTCACCGTGACCAGCCGCTACGCCGTGGTGCCCTCGAGCCAAGTAGATGGTGTCGAGATCACCTGCAAGGTGGAGCACGAGGCCCTGGAGGAGCCGGCCCTGCTGCCCGTGACCCTCTCTGTGCGCTGTGAGTGCATCACCTGTGACCACGCCTCCCCTGCTGTCTACACTGGCTTCCCTGGGCACTGTCTACACTGCCCCTCAGTGTTGTCCACCTTGGCTCTGGGCCACATTCTGCCCTGCCTACCTGCCCTTCACCTGTACTTCCACCCCGGCTCCCCCGGCCACATCCACACACTGCCCCCGTCTACCTGGCTCCACGCGGCCACCGTCAGTGTAAACACTGCCCCCACTGTCTGTATCCACCACTTGGAGTCTACACCGCCTGAACCAACACTGTCTACACACACACGCTCATTCACACGGTTTCTGTCGACTTTCTTATGGTCTCTACACCAACTCCTGCCTCCGAAAATGATTCCCATCGACCCCACTGGGCCCTGACAGTACTGACCCCTTCCAGTATGTTCTATGCTAGCTCTTCCCAACACCGCGCACACGCACACCCCCTCAGACGGCCCGAGAGGCTCCCCTGGCACTGTGCCCACCAGCCCTGTCTTCCAGTCACCCACAGCAACATGCTCACACTCCTCCCAACAATGCCTTGCTTACCAGTGGTCTCACCTCC